CAGTCTGGGCAACAGAGTGAGACTCCAACTCAAAAAAAACAACAAAAACAAAAACAAAAAGTGCTTGATAAAAGTACTATCTGCAAAGTTGAGAATTAAGTTATGAGAGATTCTCAACAGAACAGAAACAGAAATTCACAGTCCCTGCTTTATTTCCATTTGTTCACACACACTTAAAAAAAAAAACACATACATTCACAAAATACCCAAACATGAGGAATTAATATAAAAGGGCATAAAACGGGGGCTTACAGGCTGAAAAAATATCCTAAGCTTCAAAATAGAACACTTCCAATCAACTATTGAAAATTCCTTTGTTCAAAACAAAGATGTTTTGTTTTTAATCGGATTTTTTTGTTAAGTTTTAAAAAAAGGAAAGATTTAAGGACAAGGGACAAGCTTCTCACACTGCCTGATCCAGGGTCTAGCTTCTCTTCCTTGAAGGTCTTTCACAAATTATAGATGCCAGTCTTCGCTGGCCTCAAAGCTCAACTTCCCTCACCCACAGCTCTGCCTGACCCCTGAAAGTACAGACACCCTGGCCCACGCTGAGGACAGCAGATAGGGACTACAGAGCATCCAGGATATGGTCGATCTTCGTGACTAGCTCCTGGCGCTTCCCCGAGATGAGCTTCTCATTCTCGACGTACGTGTCTTTCTTGAGCTTGCCAGCCACCAGTCGCTCAGCCTCCACCGCCGACTTCAGCACCAGCTCCTTGACCTGGGCATCCAGCTTCTGCATTTCGCTCACCTGGCCGAGGCAAGAGCAGGGCAGGGTTTGAGTGGCTTTCCCACCTTCACTCAGCAGGTCCCACCATCTCCCAGGCCTGCAGACCTCAAAGCTCTGCAGGGACCAGCCACAAATGCAGTAAAAAGCAAAGTGCCCCAGGGTAGAGAGGCTGACTTCAAATGCCAAGTTTACCACCTACAAACCCTGTTTCTTCAAGCTCTGATCCTCACAAGCAAGTCCCTGCACCATACCTGGGCCTAATCTATACAAGAGAACTGTGAGGACTGCATGTGAAAAGCATGGTGCCACAGTACAAAGCAGGTATGTGGTGAACATTCTTTCTCTCCCTGCGGCTTGCCAAATCAGGTCCAGGGATTCAGTCAGACCAAAGATCAATGGGGGGAATAGGTGACAAGAGGACTGAACAACTCCCTCTTGTCACCTACTGTGTGTCAAGCTGAGGGTGCTGGTATAGTCACATTCTTTCAACATTCAACAAATATTTAGTGAATCATAGTGCAGGCACAATTCTAGACTCCAGAAAACAGCAATAAGGAAAGATCTTGCCCTCATAGAGGTGACAAATAATACTTAAGTATATGAATAGTTTCAGAAAGTGCTATGAAGAAACATACACAGGGTAAGGAGAAGGAATGCCAGAGAAGAGACAAGGTAGTCAGGAACTCTGAGGGGCACTTCTGCAAGGAGGTTATGGGAGGTTATTGTCCTCAGTTACAGACAACAACTCACATATCAGGCAGGGCTCTCAGCCACTTTACTGCACTAATTCATTTCAAACTCACAATCACTGTAAGGAACTAACAGCATTCCCATTTTACAGATGAGGCAATTGAGGCACAGAAGTTAGGTAACTTGACCAGGTTTACAGAGTCAATGAGAGCCTGGACTCAAACCCACTGATTCTAAAATCTAAGTTCGTCTTACTACACCATAAGAAGCCTGGAGACTAGTCCAGTACACCAGGAGAGGAAGCAACTGCTCTCAATACCAGCCATGTAGACAGACGGTGCTGTAGAGGCTAGCAGAGCTTTCTTCAAACCCAGCTTACAACCAGAACTCCAAAACTTCTTGTTTCACCACAAGGGCAGGTACCACATGACAAGCCTACAGTTAAGTGCAATCTTATCCCACAAGCCTGCAAGTAAGCGGGAGAGCTGCCTAGTGTCTGACTAGACAGAACAGTGGGGTGGTACTCTAGATAACTCAGTACAATTCCCAAAAGTGGGGCTTAGAGGGCCACAAACTGAGGGACACCATGATGCCAGACACTTACTCTGTCGCACAGGTCAGAGCCCTCTGTCTTCAGCCTGGACTGCAGCAGTGCAATCTCGCTGGTCAAGGCTTTATGTTCAGTCTCCAGGCTCTTCTTGCCACTGTTGAGAGCGGAGACATCCCGAGACTGCTTGTACCTATTGACAGTTTCATCAAAGTGACGGTAGAGACCTATTCTCTTGTTGACCAGGGTCAAGACCTGCTCTGTAATGCAGGCTACCTTCATCCTGGCTTCTGCAGCTGGATCCTGGAGGAGAGAGAGACATTGTATGTGATGACATCCAGGTCTGAGCAAACTGTGAACTTACTCCCAAAGAACACCCACCACCACTAGCTGTCAAACAAGAAAAGCTACTTTCTTAGGAAGTCATGAGTCAAACCCTTGCTGATAATTTATCTGAACCAGGCTCCCTGACAAGACTAGGGACATAAGGATGAAGCAGATATTCACTTCATGGTCCAATAGGGCAGATAAATAGATGTGATCAAGAATAATAATGCCAGTGCACACCATGGAAGAGGCAAGTAAGGTGCTAAGGAGAAACTTCAGTTGAGGTCAGGAAAAGCTTCAAGATTATGTCTTATTCCTTCTTTAACTTTCAAGGGTCTTCCAAGGCCTAAAGGAAAAAGCCCAAGCTTCTTTATCCTGTCATTCATGGTCCACTAGATGAAGGCCTACACATTTTCCATAATCATCTCTCACCATATGTCCATTTCAGAAGTCCTAACTTAGCAGCTCCAACGCTGAATCTAGTCTACAGATTGCTGATTTGGCACACAATTCACATTTTTCTCAAAAAATTGTCAGAGGTTTAAAATAAAGAGATGCATACATAGGAAACTGATGAATAAACTGTGGTCCAATGGCATACTCTGCAGCTATAAAAACAAGAAAGATCTTGGTTCGTGACCCGCCTGGGGAGGCGAGACCTCATCTCTACAATAAATCAAAAATGAGCCGGGCGTGGTAGCACACGCCTGTAATTCCGGCTACTCGGAAGGCTGAGGCAGAAGGATCGCTGGAGACCAGCAGGTCGAGGCTGCGGTGGCCGGGAGCGGCCACTGCACTCCAGTCTGGCAGACAGAGTGAGACTCCAACTCAAAAAAAAAACAAGAAAGATCTCTATAAACCAATATGGATGATTTATGGAATTATTTAAGTGAAAAAAGTAAAGTACAAAAAATACATACAATTGCTACCTTTTCTCTAAGAAGAGAAAGTAAGAATTAAAGTATCTGCTTGTTTCTTTTTTGGAGGGGCCGGGGATAGCCAGGGACTGATGAAAAATTGGTTCCTGCAAGGAAATTGGTTACCTACAAGGTAGGAGTTGGAAAGGGTACAGAAAATCACACTATTTTAGAATTCTGAATTTACAGCCTTGTTAATTCATATCCAATATTAAATATTAACGATGGAGGAGGAAACTAGAACAAAATCCAAACACAAGTAAATGAACCTAACCATTTCAAACAAGTAACAGAAAAAATAAGTAAAAACCAATCCAAATACTAGTGAACACAGTACTTTGACAATAAACTCTATCCCAGCACTCTGAGAGGCAGAGGTCAAAGGATTGGACCCAGGGGTTCGAGACCACCCGGGCAACTTGGCAAGACCTCATCTCTACAATAAATTAAAAAATTAGCCAAGCGTGGTCGCGCATGCCTGTAGTTCCAACTACTTGGAAGGCTGAGGCGGAAGGATCACCTGAGCCCAGTAGGTTGAGGATGTGGTGGCCATGAGCATGCCACTGTACTCCAGTCTGGGCAACAAAGTGAGACTCCTACTCAAAAGAAAAAAAAGACAGTAAGTTATCAGTCTAAAAGAACAACACACAAATTTTAGGGTTCCACTGGTAGGTCTGGTGTTTGTAGTAGTATATGAGTATAGCAATTCTGAAACTATTTTGTGTGTTTATACAATTCAGCAAATGAATAGACATATTGATGTTGCTGGAATTCAGAAGAGAAGGAATGATGGAAAACACACAAAAACCCTATGTTGAACTGAATTAAAGGCACCGGTATTAATTCACGTTTTCATTACTGTATATATTTTACCTCCCAGCTGTCTGCTCAAAGGGCCTAGAAGCAATGACACTCCAGTACCCCACCAAAAGGATCCAGCGCCCTTGGATAAAGTATAAGATGTGCCTGAAATGTACTGTTGACCCCCAAATAATAAAATGTTCAAAAAAACATGATGAAGGTGTGGAAAAAAAGAGAAAGTCAAATCTGGGACAATTTGAGCATCAAAAACGAACAGTTTCAGACAGGAACTCACTAAAGTAACTCATGTATCCAAATAATCAACCAACAATAAAAGTTTCTCCTTATAGTAGAATGACAACTAATAATGTAAAAGGAATCAGAATTTTGTAGCTACTACCATATTGATAAATAGATTTAGATAGTAATCAGTAATAAATGCTAGAACTAGTGGGTAAATGCATATGAGGATATGTATATAGCCTCAAACAGATCATTTATTAATTACAAAGAAAAAAATAATAACTTTATAGTAGTGAAACCAAGCAGACACCGGCTTAGCCAAGTAAGAAAAATTAACATCACCAGTACTAGGACCAAGTGACATCAGGTCCCTCCTGATGTGATACATTGAAGATACAACATTCTTTAAAGTAGTCTTGCCAATTTAATTAGGAAGAAGCATTACATTAAATTACGGGAACTTCTTTTTTTTTTTTTGAGTTGGAGTCTCACTCTGTCACCCAGACTGGAGTGCAGTGGCCACTCCCGGCCACCGCAGCCTCGACCTGCTGGGCTCCGGCGATCCTTCCATCTCAGCCTTCCAAGAAGCTGGAATTACAGGCGTGCACTACCACGCCCGGCTAATTTTTTGATTTATTGTAGAGATGAGGTCTCGCCAAGTTGCCCAGGTGGGTCTCGAGCCTTTGGGCTCAGGCAATCCACTCACCTCAGCCTCCCAAAGGCACGGAATTACAGGCTGAGCCACCGAGTCTGGCTTTCTTTCTTTTTTTTTTTTGAGTTAGAGACTCACTCTGTCACCCAGGCTGGAGTGCAGTGGCACAATGCTCACGGCCACCGCAGCCTCAACCTTCTGGGCTCAGGCGATCCTTCTGCCTCAGCCTTCCAGGTAGCTGGAACCACAGGCATGCGCCACCACACCCAGCTAATTTTTTGATTTATCGTAGAGACAAGGTCTTGCTATGTTGCTCAAGCTGGTCTCAAACCCCTGAGCTCAGGCAATCCTCTCGTGTCCGCCTCCCAAAGTGCTGGGATTACAGGCTTGAGCCACTGCGCCTGGTCAGTTATGGAACTTTCTATAACTGTCTCTACTCTTCAAATGTCAAGGTCATAAAAGATAATGAAAGGCTGAGACACTGTCCCAGATTTAAAGAAAACTAAAGGGACATGGCAACTGGATTCTGAAGTATGAAAAATAATTGCTATAACGGTTATCCTTAAGGCAGTAGGCAAAACTTAATTAAGGACTGCATTGGACAATAGTACTAATTAGTTGGTTGGTTAATAGTATTAATTAATGGGCAATTACCTTACCAATTCTGTGAAGAGGGCAGCACAGACGGCAGATCAGCAGAGAGGTACCACAATGCCTGAATGTGCTTAGCAACAATTACATTTTTTGAATTTGATCATTGTACCAGTGATTATATAAGAGAATATCCTTGCTCTAGGCTACACACATGCTCAGCTATTCAAGAGTAAAGGGGCATAATGTCTGTAACTTACCATCAAATGATTCAGCAAAAATAATTACACACACACACACACACACACAAAATCATGCCTCCAGAACTGCCTCCCACCCACCCTAAGTGGGATTCCCAAATCCACTCATACTCAAATCCCCTAGTTGGTCCTTGAGTTGTGGAACTGAAGTATATGAAAAGTCAGCCAGCCCTCCATATACTCGAATTTTGCATCTCTAGAATATTGTGTTGAGTACTGTATTTTCTTTTTCCTTTTGAGTTGGATTCTCACTCTCAGCCACCCCAGCGTCCACTTGCTGGGCTCCAGAGATCCTTCCGCCTGTCTTCCAAGTAGCTGGAAGGCTTCCAAGTCCGGCTTATTTTTTATTTATTGTAGAGACGAGGTCTCACCAAGTCACTGGGGCTCAGGCAATCAGGCCTCCCTAAGTGCTGGGATTACAGGCTGAGCCACCGAGCCTGACTGAGTACTATATTTTCAATTTGCGTTTCACTGAAAAATCCACATATAAGTGAACCCACGCAGTTCAAACCCATGTTGTTCAAGGGTCAAGTGTGTGCATATAAAGAGGACAAATGTTATCAACTGCCAAGTCTAGGTGAGAAGTATATAAGAACTATTTCTATATATATTCTTACAAAGTTTACATAAATGTGGCATTATTTTAAAACAAACTTTTAAAAAAATCAAGAAAACAAAAGCTTAAAAAATGGGGATACTTCACAATAAAACCTAGCTGGAACCCTTCTGCATGACAAGCTTAGTTAGTAGCTGCCCCAGCTACACCACTTGAGTCTTAGGCAGCCTCACCCATCTATGGTACCAGCTGGGCCAATGCCTTTGCTCACATGTACCGTGCCCCTACCCACACTGAAACACCTCCTGCTGCCACACAAACTGTCCCCTCAGGCTGAATGCCTTTCCCATCTTTTCTGCCTATCACTCCCTCAGCCTTTATGGCTTCCCAGGCCCTACCACCAAAAGCACACACTATGCCTGTCACCTTATATTCCCACAGTTCTCGAGCATTGGTTGAGTTTGTCTCCTCCCTCCAACCTCATCTACCTGACAACAAATGTCTGGTTCTACTACCTAGCACAGGGCATGGCACTGTAAGCCCTCATAACACAGTAATGTTGGTAATAATGAGAAATGGAGGGAAAAGGAAGAAGGACAAAGAGGATGACTTGAGGATAACTGCAGTATAGCCTGGCGTAGTACAAGGTGTCCTGGAGTATATCAGTCAGGGAGCAGAAACTGAAGGAAGGAAAGATATACGCTAACAGGGCAGGCCAGTGGTTTCTGCTGAACTCACAAGAAGAGGGGAAGGGAGAGGGGCTGCTGATGAGAGGATTAAGGGGGAGTTCCACCTCCAAGTTCAGCTGAATAACAAGCACCGGTCTCTTCATGCTTTCCTACCTCAACTAAGTATACACGTCACTGTGTCTCCAGAGTCAAAACAAGACAGGAACCAGGGACTTAACACCCTGTGCTGGTGATCACAAGTAACAAAAACAAACTACCTTTATGATAAGGATTCGCAGAGGCTACTGTCAGGGAAGGATCTTAGGGTCCTGCACTGAGTCTGCTGTTAGGACTGGTGCTCACACTGGTGATACACACTACCGAGGGTGCAAATGACTGACAAGAGCAAAAAGAAAGACGAGAAGGTACCTTGGTGATGGAAAAGTCCAGCCGGACATAGATGATGACGGTGAAGAACAAAACGTAGAAGGCAGCCACCACCAGCAGGGGCTCCTGCAGCATGAGCACCTTGTTGAATGTGTAGTGGACCTGGGAGGCGAACCAGGAAGACAGGGCTCATTAGGACTACAGGGGCAGGAACCTGAAAGCTTTGATTCACCCTGGCTGACCCACTCTACCAGCTTCTCTACTTAACCCAGGGCCAGTTGTAGGCTCAAACCACTCCAGCCCAAGGAAGGCAAGATGGGTAAGTCCTCGCCCAGCACCCAAGGTCTGTGGTGGAAGGCACAGAAGAAAGAACAGTGGAGTTACTCACTACAATGTCCTGAATATGCTGCTCTACCAGATTCTTCTTGTAAGCGACAATAACAGGACGGCCGAATGTGTCCAGGTAGGTGTAGTGCAGCTCATCTAGGGCACGGCTGATTTCATAGGGACTATCAATTTGTATGTTCCTGGAAGAAGATGGGAAAGAATTATAGCCGCAGATTAACTACACTAATAAACCGAGCTTGGAGTTGGAGAATAATAAGGCTAAGGGGGCCTTTCAAGGTTAAAAGGTTCATATTCTTCCACTCTGCTCCCCTCCTGGCAATGGGGAACAACCACACAGGAACAGCTGAATTCTGAATATTAGAGCACTCTTCTCCTGAGGCACGACTGACCCCTGCATCCTCCACTCATTAAGTTTTCACAAGTACTGAACCCCACCCTTTGGAGCCACACAGCGGACACCTCTCCTGTACATTCTGCCCAGGGAGACTCTCGGGGACTTGAAGAGGTCCCTCAAGAGTTATTCTAAATGTTCTTTATCTTCACACGAATGAGGGCTTCTTAAAGGGGATAGTAGACATGCAGTGTTTTTGCCTGCCCAGGCCTACTGCCCCTTCAGGAGATTCAGGCCATCACTCTGGCTTGTTGAGGTAACTTTGGAAACTGTACTGTTACACAAAGGCACCACGTTTTTGGAACACTTCATAAATAAATCTTGTGCGCTCATCTGAGTCTTGTTTTTCTGTTTAAACTTCAGTCAGAAGTTGCTCTCCATGCTTCCCAGTTAAACTTACTTACTGAGCACCTACTTTGTCCCCCAAGAACATAGGCTCCCCTTGAGGAATGGGGAGCAGAGGAAAGGAACAATCACACTCACTTGGCCCCTTCAGGCAAGATAATCTTCACAGTTAAAGAATCTATCACTTGCTCATCAAACACATGGTCCACAAACCTCATCTTCAGTGCATACTGGTCACCTAAAGGATCAAGCAAACATATGCAGTGACATGAAAAACAGAGAAAATGGCATAGGAGAGGGAAAGCAGTACAGGGGTATGAATGTACTCTCCTTACACAGAAGGGAGGCTGTGATGTTCTCTAAAGTTAATGAACTAGTACACTTTGGGAAGGCAGAGGTGGTAGTGGCAGCACTGTTTTGGGATCTTCTCCAATTTCACATCAAGACAGAGCAACAAGACAGCAAAATCATAAATGCACAACCACATTCACAAGAAAACTAGGTGACAAAATATCTCTCCATCAAACCCCATCATACAGGGGAGGGGCATGAGGCAGGAGCCAAAATACCAACAGTCACAGACCTGCACATTATTAACGTCTGTGATGGAGACGGCAGAGGGAAGCAACAAGGCAACTGAGGTCAGGAAGCAGCAGAACCTCAAAACACACATCAGGGATTCCCTAGAGAGCACAGCAAGCAAATGTGAGAAGAGTGGCTGAAACTTGGAGGAGTGGTGCCCCATCGAGTTGGTGAGTGAAAGAGGCCTACAGAAGGTCTGCAAGTCTGGAGCAGTCTAGTCCCTGAGAACTGTAAAAGGCCCACAGAACTTCCCCTCCAGAACAGCGCCCGAAACTGAAGAGAAACTGTTGAAGAGAATCAAAACAGCACAACAGAGACAGTGCTCCAGGAAAAAAATGGAGCAGGGGAAATGTCACAATGCAAGCCACATATTTTAGAATACTATGCTAAAGTTGGGCTCGGTGGCTCAGCCTGTAATCCCGCGCCTTTAGGAGGCTGAGGTGAGAGGATTGCTTGAGCCCGCGGGTTCGAGACCCGCCTGGGCAGCGAAGCCTCATCTCTACAATAAATCAAAAAATCAGCCGGGCATGGTAGCGCATGC